GAGAATTGGGAATATGCCCATTAAAAAAAAAAAAAATTAGTCTGTCAGTCAAGGGTAGGAGAAATACTAGTATGACTTTTTTCTTTCTATTTCACATTTGATTTATGTAAATAACAATTAAATTGTGCTAACATAAAAATCTTACACTTATATATAAGGCAGATTCATACATTTATACTTTGGCTTTTAAAATACAGCTGTATCACTTTAAAAAATACACAAGTCCATAGAATTGATTATGCAGTTGGTTCTTATGGGTTAAACTGATTGAACATGTAGTAGACTAATAAACCTGTGATAAGATTTTTAAATGCACAATTAATGTTCTGTGCAGATCCTGTTTTGGCAACTGTTACAGAAACTATCTAGAGCGGAGTATTTTGCTACTGGGCTGCTGCCGTGTAAATGATTCCTGTGATGTTTTCAAAGTGCTTTGAAATGAAAAATTGAAGGAAGCTGTTTCTTCTCAATGGCAGCAATTACAGGAGAGAAAAATTTTAGATTTTCAGAAATCATGATGTTTGGTTTGGCTTTGACAGTCTGCTTCACTCCCTGTGCAGCCTCTTCACTTGTCTTTGTCCTTTGTTTGTCCCTGCTGTTCTTGTTCCTTGACTCCCTTTTTTCATGGTAACTGGAAAGAAAAGGCATCTTGTAGGTAAATATGATGCTTGCTGCTCTCATGTAATTCAATTTATTTTCTGAATGCTGCATGGTTTGTGTTGTTGTTTTTTTTTTAGACTATCCTTGCCTCTAAGGATTTTCTCAGCTCTTTTATGGCTTATTTTTAGCTGAGGCTAGGATAACAATGTAGTAAATGGTCAACAAAAAAATATGGGCAGTGTCAATATGACGGATACTATATGAAAATATATCCAGTGCAGCTAAAGAATATTTTTTTGTCAGCTTTTCTTGCATGAGACCCTGATGTCAAGTGATGGAGCAGCTAGTAATACAGAGCTGAATGTAGTATTTTGAATACCTCAAGTGAAAACCATAGAAACCTATAAATCTGAGAAGGGTAAAAAATAAAACAAAAACTCAGTGGTTTTGGTGAAACATATAGACAAATTTTCTTTTGAATGTGAAAGTTCAGACTTTTTTTTCAAGTGGTCTAGTTCTTAGTGTTTGGATATGTCTTTGAGATACAGTTAAACACCCAGGGCTTCATTGTTTAGTCTCAGTCTTTGATGACTGTAGTTTTTTTTATTTAGTTTAAGGAATACTGGCCCATGTAATTCATAAATTATGAGGATTGTCAACATCCTCCTGCATCTGTTAACTATCTGTAAAGCTATGGTAGTCTAGGTTGACCACTGAGCTAATAGTGCTGCTTAGCCAATCAAGAAAGTTGCAGCTGATCAAAGTACTTTTCAAGATTTTAGAAAGCTGTAGGAGTATAATGTGGATGTGGTTTGTTACTGAACCAGCAAAACTATACTTTGATGTCATTGTCTATGTACAGGGCTGTCATTTCATGTATTTGCCACTTGGAAACAAATTTGAGGTTGCTTCTGTCTTCATGTTTTTCCTCCCCTTCTCATGACTTTTTATCAATAAAAACAAAGATTCTGGGGGAATCCCCTCTCAGAGAGGAGGTTGGTCTACCTAGATTTAGTCTCATTTTTGTCTGAATATCATTGCTTGCATTGCTTGATTACTCTAAAACTGTTTCAAAATGAGAATCTGATCTGTATCCATTTTGAATTATTGTATATATAATATGATTATTTTGTGTTAAACTTGATTGTTAATACTCATGCTGCACAGAAAGCTTCAAAGTTCCATCTTGTAGAGTTCAGAAATCTTAATTTAAAAATCAAACATGTTAACTTCCTAGCTTTAGCTTGTGTCAGCACACAAGCATTTGACTTTCTTAAGCATGTGATGTTTTATAGATTGCCAAGTAATTTAAATATTTAGGGATTTTAATTCAGTTTCTGCTTCAAGCTTCCATGGGTTTAGTTGTATGGCTTTTTCTTTTCAATGTAAATCAACGTGCTGTAGAACTGCCATTTTCTATTTTGAATTATTTTCTTTCTAGATGGCTTTAGAGTTGTGTTTTAGAGAGCTTATACATGCCTGCCTAATAAAAAATAAAACATCTAATAATGTGATAAAATTACTGTGGAGGTTGTAGTGGCTTCAATCATAGTACTTGGCCTTGGTCAAGGAGCTGCTTATCCCACCCTCCAATATTATCCCTCAAAAGCTGGTTGGTGGTATTTATTATAGGACTCTTGTTTTCACCTTCCTTCTTTACAGCCATTTCATTATTACTGTTCAAGATCCTTTTTCTTCAGGGATGATGAAGGTTTATACCCAGTCACTGTTGTCCTTAAAATAGTGTTGAGGATTTTGTTTGTTTGTTTCAAGAACTTTTTTTTTGCCTTTTACAGTGTCTTCCACTTTTGTTGCTTGGGGTAAGGTGATAAATACCATTTCATCTGAATTTTCCAAATAGGTGTAGCAATTCTTGTTAAATCTCAGGAGATTTAGTAGTAAATTTATGCCATTGTCTACTGGGATTGAACTGGAGACTCAGAAATGCAAACTTAGTTACAAGGAATGATTTGTTACAACCTAATAAACCCACTCCTTTTGGTTTCTTTTTTTGAATAATAAAAAAGAAATCCTGTCCCTTTTCCAGGAATTAGGGTGAGGGGTGAGTCCCCTCCTGTTTGATGCAGTTTTTTCTGTTCTTTCTTCTAAATGTCAATGTGTTACTAAAAGCTACTGATTCTTGACCCTAGGAGTAGCGAATTCCAGGCAAAATGCCATTCACTCCTGAAGCAACTCCCCTCTAGCTTTAAATAGTGCTGTCCCCAAGATAAGGTGTCTTGAGATGAGTATAGATAATATGTACCAATATTTACCTAACCAGTCTGTTTTCTACAAAAGAACAAACAGCACTTCCATCTACCAGCGTGTATCTTTGTGTGTAGCATATGGATCTTCCTCTGCAGTAAACTACTAATTGTAGTCTGCATATACTGGGTGCTTAATCTTGGTGTTGGTGGTTGACCAGAGTAGATTTTGTGAATTTGGATGTAAAGAAGGAATGGCTGCTCTGATAGTTACAAAGAAATGCTAACACTGGATTGAAAACCCAGAAGCTTGGAAGGCAAACAGGTTAGAGTAATCTCAGTGGGAACTCAGTGTCACACCCCGCAGACATCTTGAAAAGGATCTTTTATATTCATGTATGATATGGAACAGTGGTTGCCCTTGATTTTGGAGAGAGTGCTCTTGAGAGATGTGGTGTCTGAGATAAGAGTGAAGCTCTTCTCCCAAATACCTTGATAAGCAGCTGGTGCTGAGTAAGCCTATGTGGGAGCCTGATGACAAGTCATTCTTTATTATAAACAAAATGTATTTGCAGTTATCTTCAGTTTGCATGTGATGTTACAGATTACTTCATGGTTTCATCTGATAAGCATGATGTTCTTCTGTAATTGCAAAATACCCTTTAAAAATTGTAGGTATGTTAGTCACCTTAAAGATACCAGACTTTGCTGGCAAATACCAAGAGTTGTTTGGCTCAAGTGCTGTGGTGTGTTGTGCTTGAAGAACCACAGAGCTTCATTTATTGTTGTTACGCCTTTGTGTGCTGTTGTTAAGGTGCATGTACAGTCATTAGCTAAAGATGTTGGAATTAAGGGTCACATTTTATCTATGTTTCAGAACTAGTATTGTGAGGTCTGCACTTTCTCTGGCAGTTAGAAATTAAAGTATTTGCTAATATGTTTAGGTAGTTTTCAATCCTTTTCTGTAGATAACGCTTAGTATGTTATAATTTAGGACAAATGTCATATGAAATGGAAGTAGCTTGGTTGTAGCTTTCACTTTAAGAGCTCTATGGTGTGAACTGGTTAAATTATGTGCACAATAGTGAATCTATAAATAGTAGTGGTTATTGATTCATTAATTATGCACAATACTGAAAAAAAAAATCAAGATCACTCTTTAGGAAACAAAATTCTCCATCGGTACCTTGCTTGTTAATATATGGTTTGCAGTGTTAAGATGGAGTCCTTTGTCTGTTTCTATCTAGGCCATGGGAATACTTTCATTTTTTTCCCTCTGATTTAGTGATTTGTGTTTAAATATTTTATGGATAGTCCTGCTCTCTTCTGCTTTCGAGAGTAAACTTTGATGGAGAGGTTTGTTTTGCTCTAGGCTTTGCTGGTGTTCATAATGGCATTTCCCAACTGGCAGCTGGTAAGACAGAAGCAGGCTGGCAGCAGCAGCCGTGGAGACAGCACTTGTTGGCTTGAAGTTATGAAATCCAAAGAACAGGGAGACTTAGCAGAAACCTGTGAACTGGTAGGAAGAAATTTAAACAGTAGGGCAGTGGAGCAGCATAGCTAGTGGTTATAACAGCAGTTCCACCTCCACTTCTTCACTTTTTCAAAGTTCAAAGAAGCTTACAAAATCTTCAGAGCCACCATCAGAGGATGCCTTAAATACATGACTATTGAGGCATAGTCCATCAAGTGGCTTAATTTCTTTTGCACGGTTAGCTGAGTGTACTGATGAGTGTGGGAAAAGACAGCCCAGAGTCATTGGCTGTTTTACAAATTACTAGTGATGGGAAGTAGAGAACTGATGGGTTAAAACTCAATTAATTGTGCTGATGTGTTGCGCAACAGCTCAAGACAAATGTGGTTCGTATTCTGACATTTCAGCACTGTCTGCTGCGAATATGATCATGGAGTGCTTCACAAGAAGCTTGACCTATATCCAGTAGATAGGTTCTAAAATAATTTTGCAGAAGAGTTTACAAAAATATTTGATTCTGAAACAAAATGATTGCTTAGAAAATAGGTTTGGGGAATGTTCCTTTCTCATATCTAATACAGATGTTAATCTGTACACACACTTCTAAAATAATGTGAAATAGTAAACATAAAAAATATGAAAGATGACAAATGTTAGCCAAATTGTAATGAACTTTTTTCCTTTCTTATAGAAATACACTAAATTTGAAGTGAAACTAAACAATGGAACCAGATATTATTCGCATGTACTCCTCATCTCCTCCACCACTAGACAATGGAGCTGCTGATGATGATGAAGATGAATTTGGAGAATTTGGAGGATTTTCTGGTGTAAGCACTACTGGTGTAGCTTTTTCTGATTTTGATACACCAGACTACAGTCATCCAAAGGAAGAGTTTATACCCACAAATCATTTCCTCCCACTTCATGACTATTCTGACAATGTATCTAACATTGCAGCTTTCACATCCCTTAAAAATGTTAAAGATAAAGACTGCCTTGCAGAGCGGCCTATTCTTACTAAGGAACTTTCTGATATGTCTGCTACTAGTACCAGCAAAGAAAAATCTAAGTTTAGAACTTCAGGTACTGATTTAGAAGATGTAAGCAAAAGATGGGAAAAAAGAGACAACACTGGGAAATCTGAGGGTTTTTCTTCTCATGTCAATAGAACTGATACAGCAGTCGAGAGCCAGGACAAGCAAATAGATGCTTGTAATGGTGAGAAACTTCCATGTCTAGAGATTCTAACAAATGGATTTGCAGCATCAGACCCTGTGAATCCTCAGGGAACAGAAAATCTAGACAGTATCAGTGATTCAATGCCTAGCTCAGGTGAAGATTTTGCAAATTTTGCTGCATTCTCAAGCAAAACCCCAATCTCTTTAGAGGGAACAGCACCTACAATATGCATTGTTCTTAATGAAAGAGACTCTCTGAGCATTCAGAAGAACAACAGAATAAACAGAGCAACTTGTACTGAAGAAGAGGTTTGCATTTCAGAAATTAGATGTGAGCAGGGTTCCTCAGCACTGGAAGATAATGAGTTTCCAATTTCTAGTATGTCTCAAACAACTGGAAGTTCAATATGCACTACTGAAAATAGCGAATGCAATGGGAGGAGAAGACAGCATGGCACAGAAAATGGCAAAGATTTTGCTAGGCCTGATGACTTTTTGGGAACAGAGGACATCAGGGTTGAGAAGATCCAAAGCCAAAGTGGTGATTCTGCAGGAGAAAAAATAAGTGATTCTGAAAATCTTAAGAATGGTGCAAGTATTACTGAAGGTGCAGCTTGTAGTAACACACACGATGATGATTTTGCTGATTTTGGTGCAGTCTGCAGTGCGTCTACCAGCTCTGCTAATGCTCAAGAATCAATAAATGCTCTGGCTTTAGAAGGAACTGCCAAACAGCCCACACATATTAGTGAACCTAATGATGAATTTGGTGAATTCAGGGACACAAGTACTGTTTTTCAGCAGCCAGCAAGATTGGATCAAGCTGAACCAAATCAGACTGCTGACACTTTAGAATGTGATAGCAGTAAAACTTCAGACTTTGACTTCCAGCATACTACTGAAGCAGAAAAGGGTGATGATAGTGAATTTGGAGACTTTGATTCAGTGCCAAAACCTCAAGATGAGAGTGTTGCTTTTCAGGACTCTGACTTTACAGACTTCAGTTCAGCAGGCTGTAACCAGAATACAGACTGGAATGCTTTTGAAGATGAACAAAAAGACAGCTGTTCTTGGGCTGCCTTTGGAGATGAGGAAGCTGGTGAATCTCATCACAGAAAAGAGACATGGCAGTCACATAGGACAGATGCATCTGCCAGGACTGGTGATCCACTTTTACACAAGGCTGGCAGTTTTGCTTTAGCATCTTCCGAAGGAACTACCAGTAAGCAATCTCAAGAGCCAACACCTTCAGTTCAGGTAAGGGTGTTCTTGATTTTGTTCAGTGTTGTTCTGCACTTGTGCATACAGGTCTTCCTGGTTTCTGCTTCTGCATATAACAAATGTTTGAATAGTCCTTGTTTGTTTTGTGGGAGAGATTTAATTTTGTGGTTGAGACAGGCTGGTATGAAATTGTATGCTGTGTTTGTATCTTGCACTGATACTTCCTACAGAAAAATTAGGTATGCTAGAATCTATGCATTTATTTTGACAATTATATGTGGTCCTTTACATAAACTGATCAAAGGAATAAGCCATCATAAACATTTCAGAGCCTGTGAGAGTTCTTCCTGTACTTCACAGTTTACTGCCTTTTGGAGAGGCACTCTGGTTGCTTTTTCATAAACCAGTAGTGTGACTGGAAGCTGACATTACTGGTTCCCCCAAATTTTTCACCACCATTCTTTATCATGTTTTCAAAATCTGATTTTAAATGATGTCTTGATTTGCAAATAGCAAGACTCATTTGCTTAAAGCAGAGAGCATGATATAATATGACCTATGGAGTTCTGTCACCAGTATTCCAACTCCTGGGAAGCTAATTACTGAAAAGTTATTTTTAAATAAGCCTCTGTTGTACATCAGTTGTGGGAAGCTCCACAATATAGCAACATCATAAATACAGGACTGATGACTCCTTAAAGCTGCTGTTATTTCTAATTAGGAGTTTTGTGGAGGCTGAAGTTGATAGGGTTATTTCTTACACCCACCCCCTAATATTATGTATTAATTCCTAACTGATTCCTTCCTGGGTCTTTCACCAGTCATCTTTGAGATCTGTGCCTGTTTATATGTAGATAATTTTTTAATATTACGTTTACGAAATTCAGAACAACAATTTGAGTGTAAAATTCTCTCCAATACTTTTTAATCATGTCATCCCATGTGAGTAGTTCAGAATATGCTCTGCCTTTTTGAAGCATGCAGCAACACCAGCATTAAAGTGTGTTAATGGTAATATGTGCCTAAAAGGTTTGGATTTTCTTTGGCAGTCAAAGGAAATGAGGTAAGTCCCTGCTTCTAGGACCTTGCTTAGTTTTGGTGACAGCCCCGCCTCTTTGCGTTTCCTACCAGTGACAGATTAAATGGTGTAAATGGCTTTTCAGAAAAAGGTTGAGCCAGCCAGAGTTTTGCAAGCATCAGCAAATGGAATGGAGCTTTTGGGAGTGAGTGCTGATTTCTTGTCATATTAAAAGGTGTGAGCCTCAGTTCTGACACTTCCTTCTTGCTGTTTTGTGCAGTGACTGACACACCAAATTTCGAAGTGGCTTCACAAGCCAAAAACATATTCGCAGATGAACCTGAAGGTGGATTTTTGTGCTTGTGCAAAACCTTGCTCATTGTCATCTGGGTGTGCAGGTCCATTTCTCAAGTTGAAAGCACAGATCTGTTGTTACCCCTTTGGTTGGTCATTTGCCCATAAAATCAGAGAGCGCTAACATCATAAGTGCAATTAATCTAAATTGTTCCTGTTGCCACTTGAAAGACTGTCCAGAATATGACAAAGAGACGGAGTGGAGAGAGGATTCTAATAAACCATAAATTTTTCTAGTTAATCAAGCTATGAAGGAATAGTCTGAAGGTTTTAAACATTTCTTTTTACTTAAAATTTTCCATAATTTTATGATGGAGTTTCAATAGAAAATGGTTCTGAATGTAGATGTTTATAGAAGCAGAACCTTTAGAGGTTCTGTAATTTTTCCCCCTCCCCAAGTCTGCTATAGCAAAAGATAAAAAGTCAAGTTACAGTGGAAGTTCTTTGGTGATCTGTCATGAAGTCATATGGTAGTTTGGTTAGATTATAAAGGAAGTTTTAACATTAAATATTTTTTTTCATTCCTTCTCTTTGTACTACAGCCAGTTGTGACTGCATATAAAGTGATGTTCTGCCTCCCCTGCCGGTGAGGAAGTACAACTTAGAGAATGTTTTACACAAGCTGTAGAGGAAGTTGAGCTGGAAATGCTTTCTCTGTTGAAATAGTTCCCTTAGCTTGCAATGACTGTTGCTATTTTTTTTTCTCAGTTACTTCCTAAAACAATAGTTACACATTTTCAAAAATTATTTCGTATGCTTATAGTGCTTTAAGTTTTAGAAGTATCTGTTGAAACCTTTATATACTTTTTAAAGGCTTTATTTTATTCTTAAGTAGCAATTATGTTTTTAATCCATTGAGCCACAGTTTAGTAAGTTGTAATTAGAAACATTAAGATTAGATGAGTCAACACGAGCCAGCATAGAGTCCCAGTACTTCAAGTGTGAAATCTCTGTAAAATTAATCTCACATCTTGATCAGTTTCCTTACTTTCACCTAAGATGTCATTGAGGTCAAACCACAAAATACAGCATTTTAGAGTATTTGCTGATTATCTGTTTCCCATATATAAAGTTGAGTTCTGGAGTCATTTGGTGCAAAAACAGGAGCACTTTCATGCAAGATAAAGCTAGGGAGAGGTGAGAGAACACATTTTTTTAATACCCTTCCAAAGGAGGACAGGGAAGAGTAGATCAGTTGGATCAATCTATTGCTGACAGTTCTAAAAACACTTGCTGTAGAAACTTAAAGGGAGCGGGCTCCACAAGGGAGAAATACTGTGCATGTTAGACATTTGAGATGGATGTGAAAATCGAGACTTTGGCTTAGGCTAAGGGTAGACTGGGATCATTTACAAGATACTGTATACACTTGATCTGTAATATTGAGGCTAGGAGAGTCACTAATGTGGTGGTGAAATAATTTTGGACAGTGCATAAGCAGAAAGACTTTAATGTAATTCTTTACTTTTCAGCTTTCTGCTTTTGAATACTTAGCTAGGAGCATTACTATTTAAATGTGGAAATTATGTATACAGCAGTTTTCATTCACCCAGATTACTGCATGAAAGGGAAGTTATTTATCAGTAGCTCAAGTTGCTTTGCCAATGGTGTCTGCATAGTTTCCTTTGTTTCCTCAGTTTGTGTTTTCTGGATGTGGAGGCAGCAGCAAAATGTTGTGCTTTCTGCATATGGCCTTGATTGTAAGGTATATGTCAGGAAATCTATTTTAGAGATTCTGAATTTGGTATAATATTTAATTAAAAATTAGACTTTGCTTGAATTCAACTGATTAATCCAGTTTTTCTTACTACTTTTACATTCTGTATCTTGTAAGGGTGAAAGGGTCACAAAAATGACCTCTTATAGTGACGTAGTGGCAAAAAGATCATTATGTCCTTTCTCCTTTGACTTTGGTCTTAGGCTTTCTGAATCCTACACACAATCTAAAATGTTGGGTTTGTAACATGCTTACCTTTTCTATCTAGTAGGGTTGTGGGGAGAAGAATACAGGCATGGTATATGATCCTGTTAGAATTACTCGAAGAATTTATAATCCCTTAGGAAAAAGTTTCAGTTTCTGAGGCTGATGGACACAGTGTAATTTGAACCCATATTAATACTACCATATTCTTTAGCCATTTAATGTCTGTCTTCAGCTGAAAAATATGTAATATTTGGTTTTGGTGTAGTTGCAGGCTTTTATATGAAATCATAGAATCATAGAATGGTTTGGGTTGGAAGGCACCTGAAAGATCAACTAGTTCCAACCCCCTGCCATAGGCAGGGACACCTCCAGCTAGACCAGGTTACTCCAAGCCCCATCCAGCCTGGCCTTGAACACTTCCAGGTTTGGGACAGCCACAACTTCCCTGGGCAACCTGTTCCATTGTCTCACCACCCTCTCAGTCAAGACCTTTTTCCTCTTTCAACTTAAAACCATTCCTTCTTGTCCAGTCCCTTCCCAGCTTTCCTGTGGCCCCTCCTAGAAGGCTGCTCTAATGTCTCCCTGGAGCCTTCTCTTCTTCAGGCTAAATGTACCTTTGTGTTCATTAAAATTAATTTAGGATATAGTAGGTGGGTGAATTGGTTGATCTAACAAGTTTTGAGCAAACCTGCACTGTGTCATATGCATTAATCCCCCTTATGTGATCACATAACACACTACTAAGTTATTTTTATAAGGAATATAAGGCTCACAGCACAGCTTTCTCCATGAGATAATGTTGGACATGAGTCAGTTGAGGGGGTTACTAAGCTGTATTGTGTGTTAAGGATATATTCAGGACTTAGGCAGTAAAAGCATAAGAGCAGTTATTACCTATGGTAATTATGTGGGTGGGTAATAGGTCTGTGCCTAGCTGTGTTCAAGGAGTATTGGCATCTCTAGACGAGGAGATGAATAATGGCTTGCTTGGAAGGCCAAAACTCTTTACCTGATTTTGCTGAGAGTCAACGGGTCCTGAAAGGGGAGGAAGGGAAACTTGAACAGCCCTCCAAGTGGGTTTTGAGATCCTCTGCTTATTAGAGAGCCTGTGCTCACAGGCTCTACCTCTTCAGATTAATCAGACAGCGTGAGTGATATACAGTTACTAAGCCACAAGTATGCATCAAGACAAAGAAAGCCCTGGATCACTTGTTGCTTAGAGAGCACTTTGTCTTGGGCAGTGAAGTCATCTTCTTGGAAAAAAGTAATTATAACCATAAAGACTTTAGCCTCCCAGTTCATTAAGATAAATTAAGATAGTGTTGGATAAATTAAATTCAGACAGTTGTGTAATCATTTGCAGTTGTAGCTATTTGGAAAGGGCTGGGCCTTTTTTTTAAAGTCCATACCACAGGTTTTAAATATTTGCAGCTGCTTAACAGACCATTAAAAGTAGCCCATTATTGCTGTATTTCAGAACAGGCTGGCTAAGGGGATTTTACAAAAGAAAACAATTTGAAAGGTGGTTGTTTTAGCATTTCTGGTTTTGTATCACAGAACAAAATTATTTTCCATTTTATACATATAAGCTTTATCTACTTCCTCTTAGAGCCTGGCTGAAAGTGTAGTACAACACCACTAGATAATAATAACAGGACAGGCAGAAATGGGAAGTAAGTTTTATGTAGTCTAGATAAATAACTATTAAACCTCACTTTGATTATATGGAAGATGCAAGAT